ATATATCACTGTCACTGTCCTCCCATTGTTCATTGATTTGCTCAAGCGGGCCCAGTAACATTGTGAGACTTGTTGTTACTGTTTTTGCCATATCGAATACGTCACGAGGAGCTTGCCAGGCTTTGCTGTTTGGGTGAGATACTCTCAGTAGCTTGCCAGGCTCTCTGAGAGGGGTGGAAGAATTGAACTCGGGTTGGCCAGGTCGGCCACGTTCAAGGCAAACACCCTACTCACTGTGCTATTGGAGATATATATATTATATAAATTATATATTCATATAATAATAATATAATTTAATAATATAAATAATAATCATATAATTTATATAATATATAAAGAATTATATAAATTATATAATTCTCAATTCAATAAATTATATAATTATATAATTCTCAAAAAGTATTATATGAGGCTGTTACTATACGATAGAATCATCATCACTGTTGATAATATTATTATTGGAGGTCAAATAGCAGGAATGATTTATTAGCAACTGCAAATAAAACATTTTTAAGCAAAATGTATCATAACCACATTTCATTAACTTGAACGTTTGCTTTTTTTTCTTTCCTAGCTTCAATAACTTACATATTTGTGTAAGGAAATAATTGTTTGAGGAATCATTTCTTTTCACTGGGGAATTATGTTCTTGACAGTGACAGTGACAGAGGATAAAAAAGAATTAGTGGCTGCAGATAGAATGCTCAAGAGACAAGTGCATGTGGGATGGGATGGACTCTCGGAGTGACACCTACAGAGTATGAGGGCAGTTGGATTTGTCTAAATTTGGGGTCTCTGTTCATATTTACCCTGATTCAATCATGCTAACCTTTGGACCCCGATCCCTGCTGTAGTTGGCTTCTGGGGTGGAGAGGCTTTGGACAAGATGTTTCTTTCAACTCATGCCAGTTTCAAAAGGACACTGAGATAAGATTCACATACAAATATACTTCACAGCTGAAGGAGCAAGTGTCTGTTTGGAAAGATGCACCATGACCTTCTCCCTGTAAGTTGGAGAGTCTGGCCTGAGAAGAAGTTAGAAAAGAGCAGTAAATATTCGCTGGCACACTCCACAGAGGAGAAATTGCTTTTAGCCATAAATGCAAACAAATAGGCCATACATGCAAAACAATCACAAATAAATGGAATATGTAAGAAGATACCACCCAAGCCCCTTACGAACTCGAAAGTTGATGGTGTCAAAGGATTGGCAGAGACCTAAGAAAGGATAAGCCAAAGGTGAATCAGAGCGGGAAAGATGCCCAAACCCTCTCCACGTATAGGAGTTTACTGCGAACGATATGTCCGAGGAAGAGGCAAAATATAGAGTGGAAATCTTGAAGACCCAGTCAGACCTCCACAGGCCACCCCCTCATCCAAATGAGAAACTTCAGTCTTCACCAAAGACGCAAGAGCTGGCTATGTAAAAGGCAGTCATTTTTGAGATGTTGTTGGAAAGTTGTTGGGCTGTGATCCCACGGAGAGGTGGCCAGGAGACCAGAATGGAGACGGTGAGTGTGTGCAGAACCAGAACGCTCTGCCCTCGTCCCCAGCCTCCTTCTCCAGGTCAGTTGTTAGATATTTGACTTCCTGCTCTTAGCCCACATGTTTGGTGCTTATAGAGATTCTGATCAAGCAACAGGAGAAAAATATGTTTTACCATCTGAACAGCTTAGACAAGCCAGCCCAAGTGTGGCTCACTCATGATATTCCTTTGTAGGTAACAACATGTCCAATACTCTTTAATAGTTTGGCAATCAAGAAAGGAGGAGAGGAAGGGAAAAAAAAAACACACCCTAGGAGAGAGAGTATTTAAAAAAATTGAAGACAAGAGGCACAAAGTTTCATGATTTGATTTCATGACCCGATGCTGAAAAAAATCCGAAGGAATTCTAAACTACAGTGCTGTTCTTAGCCTAATCACGAGGCCAATAGGAGGGGCAGGAAAGTCACTTTGCAGCCTATATAACATCTTAGAAATTTATTCCCTGAGTGTTTCCTTTGGAAGACAGGAGATTGTTAACCCAAGTGAGAAAGGACAGTCCGTGGGGGCTCACAGAACAGAGGCACCAAGAGAACTGCAGAGATTTGAGGCTGGATGTGGGTCATGGGCATCAACGCAATCACTACACATAGTAAAAGGCTTAGGGAGGTAAAGCAGATGGAATATGAAACTCAACTAGAGTGACCCGGCACAGTTTGGGGAAATGAATTAGTAAGTATCCAGAGAACTCGCAGTCAACCTTGAACTCAAAGAAGACCAGGGACAGAGGAACAGAAAACTCATGCTTGTTACATGTCTGAATTAATTATTTTGGCAGCATCTTAAAATGAATGAACAGTAACTCAAGTGGAGGAGCAGGAGAGGGGTGGGGAGGGGAGGATGTGAGTGTGGGTGGGGGGAAGAATGGCCTGTCATGGGGGGATTCTGCCAGGAATGATTAAAAATGAGAATCCACGAAAGGTACAAATCTTATTTACATCAATGGGGCTAAATGTAGGAATAACTAAAATGAGAACTATAAGCTTTTGCCTAGAAGAAAGAATTCAAACAGGGCTGTTAGACATTAAAAAATAAGTGTTATAGAGTGGCATTATTTTAATGTATATGCATGTATAACTGAATAAATAAAAGTTCTTATTAAAAGATGGGTGGGAATTGAACGGGTCTTAATTTTATCAGTCTAAAAAAGATGAGTACGTATTGGCCTGAATGTACAGCCTTCTACTGTCTGAAATGAATTTAGTGGTAAGTCAGCACGCAGATAACTGAGCAAATTTGGAGTGCTTCTTATTTGAATAACATTGCAAAACCTATTTTGACTATTAAGAATCAAAAGTGTTGAATAGTGTTTTTATTCCTATGATTTTAACTGTAAAGTCTCTTCTTTGTAGAATTTTAATATTGGAAAATGTATACTTAAATAATTGATTAGTCTGTCCATGAGGTAGCTTATATTAAAAAAAAGATATCATACAATAAAATTCCGGAGCTGCAGACCTCATTAATTCAGTTTTTTCTCCATATTCTATCTAGGCGAAGGTGAAGTTTACCTTTGAATGCCTAAGAAGAAATGAATATTGTAAGCATCATTATAAGGATATCTTGGTCATTTCTTTAAAAGATACTGAAGATTGAAATGTATAACATTATTATTTAGCAGATTATTTTTATTAAACAAATATAGAGTTGAATTTTTTGATGTAATAAATGCTTGTTAAATATTTTGTTGAGGCATTCTGTTACATATAGGGGATGACGAGTTAAAATACAGTCAGGGAATTTATGTTGAAAGGATCAGTTGTGATGAAAAAGAGAAAAATCATCATTACTCTGAATACTTTCACAAAGGGCTTTAGCAGGTGGAGGAGTGGGATGAGGGTTCACGGAAGCTTGGATGGAGTAAATCCTTGGAAGAAAATGCAGGTGGAATAACAGGTCTTCAGGGAAAGGAAAGAAGTTGTCTATTGTCATTTAGGTCAAGGCAATAGGTCGCATTTGTAGCTACTATTAGGAACAGTAGCCAAAAATTCAAGTTATTTCTTTTTCTGTGCTCAACCCTGCCTAGTATCCCACATTAAAATAACCTGGTACATTTCTCACAACTACTGTATCCCACTGTGAGGTTCCTCCAGACCCCACCTTCAAAGTAACTTCAGTAACTTCGTAGAATTTGTGTAAACTCTTCATTCCAACACTGGTGGGAGCATGCTTCAGTGAGGTGAAAAGAAAATACAGCAGGGATGATGGAATCAGGCAGAAACATGATCCAGGACAGAACCAGAGAAAAGGTTAGAAAGATTGCAAACACGTCATTGTTGATTGTTTTCACCCCTGCAAGTTTTTCAGATATCCTCTGGATTTTCAGTCAGGGCAATGTATGTTTTTAGAGGGAAGCAGAAGAGGAAGGAGGTAGGTATGTGATGCTGAAAAAATCAAGTGGAGGGGGAGAGAGAGGAGGGGTGGGGAGGGGAGCTAGAGAAGGGTAGGGGGAAAGAGAGAGAGGCCGGAGAGAGGGAAAAACTGGGAGAGAGAGGGAGAGAGAAGGAAAGAGAGGAAGAGAGGAGAGAGGGAGAGAGGCAGGAGAGAGAGAGGGGGAGTGAGGGGGAGATGGGGGAAGAGAGGTGGAAGAGACATAGGGAAAAAGAGGGAGAGAGGGAGAGGGAAAGAGAGGGAGAGAGTGGGGGAGAGGGAGAGAGAGGGAAAGACAGAGAAAGAGGGGGAAGAGAAGGGGAGAGGAAGAGGGAGGGGAGAGAGGGGAGGGGTAAGAGAAAAGAGGGGGAGGGAGATGGGGAGAAAGAATAAGGGGCAGAGGAAGATGGAGAGAGACAGGAAGAGAGAGAGAAAGAGAGAGAGAGAGGGAGGGAGGGAGAGATGCTGGCAGTGATGAAGTGTGGTGGGCTGAGAAAGGCAGGTGGAAACAGAACCTTCTGCAATGGTCCAACACCCCCTGCCCCGCCCCGCCCCCACAAATGACAGTGATAGCTTCAGGGTAGTCATCAACGCTATAGCAAAGGGAATAAAAAGATGAAGATTTAGCGAATGGTGAAGCCGGAAATGGTCTTCCATTTGCTGTGCTAAGGCCATGATCACTCAGCGGGGTACCGGGTGCTCCCCGTGGAGGTCACATACTGCCCAGCTAGACACACTCCGGTCCCTCCGCTGCGCTGCTCCCGTGGCTGCTGCTTGGGGCGGGGCATTAATTCACCCCTTCCCTGCTCATCACAAACGATGTTTGAAGGTCCTTGGTCACCAACGTGTCCCCAAACTCCACCTTCCCCTTCTGGCCTGGGGAAGTCCTCCTCCGTGCCCACGGCAAGCCAGAGCCCACTCGGTGGCCAGAGCAGTCACACCTGGAGGAGGTGGCCAGTGCAGGTGTGAGAGCCCCCCCAGCGTGGCCACCTGGCGACCCTCGCAGACGCGCACTGAGCACGCCCTCCCGGCCTCGAGCCCCTGCCCTGCCCACTGCCCTACTGACCACCCTGTGTCCTTCCCGCAGGGCTCTATGAGACCTTCCTGACCAATGATGGACCAGAATGCTGTGACATCCGGAGAGAAGCAGCGCGCAGCGGCGCGCCTCCGCGGGGACCCGCCACCCAGCCCAGCGCCTCGTGCCACCGGACCTCGCTCCCGGCCTCGGCGGCCACCAGACTGTGCCCCAGCAGACTCAGACTATGCGTCCTCGTGCTGATGCTCCTGCACACAGTGCTCACCGCCTCGGCCACCCAGAACACCACGCAGCTGAGCCTGGGCGGCATTGGCGCGCTGGAGGAGCGCTCGGGCCACGAGGACTGAGCGCCCCGCGCGGACATGGACGCGCGTGAGGCGGGGGGGGGGGGTCCCCGGAGCACTTCGCGCCCCGCCCCGGGTGCTCCTGAGCATTTCTCGCCCCGCCCGGAGGGAGACACGTGGGAAGGCGGCCTGGATGCCAAAAGCAAGGACGCAAGCAGCTTTGGATGGCCTTGGAGGCTGTCCAGTGACTTCTTTCTCACCATTTTATACACTGTGTTTTACTGTTGGAGGTTTTCTTTGCGCCCCCTCCCCACCCCTCGGTTTGGGTTTCTCTGTCTCTTGCCGCACCTGTGGATACAGCATCCCTTGGAAGATGGTTTCCCACCTGTGGATGCAGTACTTCTTGGGAAAGCTGGATGCAGCGTCCCTTGAGGGATGGTCCCCACCTCTGGGTGTGGCATCCCTTGGGGGGATGGTTCCCACCTGTGGGTACAGAGTCCCTTGGAGGATGGTACCCACCTGTGGGCGCAGCATCCCTTAGGGGATGGTCCCCACTTGTGGGTGCAGAGTCCCTTGGGGGATGGTCACCACCTGTGGGTGTGGTGTTCCTTGGGGGATGGTTCCCACCTGTGGATGCAGTACTCCTTGGGAAAGCTGGATGCAGCATCCTTTGCGGGATGGTCCCCACTTGTGGCTGCGACATCCCTTAGGGGACGGTTTCCCAGAGGGCCAGTGCGTCCCTTCACTGTCTCTTAGGTCCCCCCTGCTCCCTAGTCGCTGTGTGTGTCCATCTGGTAGTTCTGTCTTCATGTCCTGTCACTTGCTAATAGAGGAATGACTGCTATGACCTCGTGGTATAGCAAAAAACAACAACAACAACAAAAAAATCACAAAAACATTTAAAAAGACAAAAAAAAGAAAACAAGAAAAAAATGAAAAAAAAAAATTTCCCTCCCGCGCCCACTCCTGCGCCCCCTCCGCCGCACCGGGCCCGCGCCCCACCTCCCCGCCCCGAACTGGGACCCCCAGCCTGCGACCCCCCTGGTCGCTGCCATCTGCGTAGTGGGGGCGCGGGGCAGGGGGGCCCCGTGCCATCCTGCGGAGGTGTCCTTAGGCCGGGAATGCAGTTTTTTATGTTGGAAACAAAATCAAAGGCAAGGAGGACTCCTGAGCCAGGGCGCCCGGCCTGGTCCCCAAGGCCTGGGGGTCTCAGGGGGGCACAGAGGGTCGCCCACCACTGCAGACTGTCCCCTCCTGCCCCGGCCAGAGGGGCCGGTGGCCGTGCTCAGGCACCTGCATCTACAGAATATATACGATTTTATCCCAGTATCTCCCCAACATAGGGTTCTAAAGGATTCCAGGTACATCGCGTCTGCAAAATCCTGAGTTATCACAAAGGAAGAGTTCCTTTTTCTTTTCTTTTTCTTTTTATTTTTTACAAGTAAGTAGGTTAGTCATTTCCATTAAAGTGCAAACACTTTATCACTAACGTGCTCTAGGTAGCTGAGGAAAAAGAGGAGACGGATTGCATTGTTTGTGAATTTTTTTTTCCTTTTTTTGCGGGAACATTTCACCCGCTGAGTGTCTATGAATTTGCTTTCTAAAAAAACAAAAACAAAAAAACCTAAAAAGGCTTTTATGAGTTTACAGTAGAATCAGTGGAAGGAAGAGTTAATAAGGGCTGTTTTTAAAACAAACAAAACAAAACAAATAATTAAAAAAAAAAAAACCACTTTACATTCCTTCCTGTTCTCTAACTACGCTTGGGAAGTGCACTTCAGATTTCTTCATGGTGTAGCTGGGAGACGAAGGAAATTATAGGGAAGGTCCTCTTAGCGAACAAAATTTAGTTATCGACTTTATAGCTATGAAATTCCCCCAGGCATTTGTTTTTGTTCAAACAATCTTTAATCTCTGCATCATACTTAATCCTGCAACATGCCGTACAGTATGCATATTTTGTTTTAAATAAAAAAAATGTTTTGTTCCAGTCTGTTAAGAATATTCAAAAAATAATAAAGGTATTGCTTAATAAAATTGCTAGAATTGTTTAGCAGTACATGCACAAATATTTTACTAGATTATTTGTTTAATAGTGTTCTGTTGAGACTGAAAATCCTAAAATGGTCTGCGCAAATACAAAAAAAAAAACACAAAAAACTGCAAAATTCTCCAGCTTTTGTTCATTTTTTTTTTGGAAATTATTTCATGCAAATGGAAACACGTTCACATATGCACATACACACATAAGCACAGAATATTTAATTTATGGAAATACGGTTCTATTTTTGGGGCATGAGTGGGCGGGGAGCTCTCCAGCACTTATCAGCTGCATTAAATGACTGCAACTGTTAAATTCTTGTGGAACATTTCAAAGCCCAACTTGGGGTGGAATGTAGATATCAGTGGGGTCAGGAGGGCGGGGAACATAAGGGAGTCTAACAAGGCCAGATGGGGATGGTTCTGACAGGCTAGTTCTGGCTTACCTGGTCCCTAAGTTAAGACCCAGTCACAGCTGCTGTGTGTTGGCCATTGTCCCTCTCCTCGCTGTTCTTCTTGCCCCAGCTAAGGCTGGAGGAAAAACCAGGCTCTCTTAACTAATAAGTAAAGGTTCGTTTACTCTTTGACACTTATTGCAACTGGTTCAAGTATATCAAAATAAGAGGAAATTGGGAGGTTCCACTTGCCCGTGTTTCAGCTTGAATTTGCAGCAGAAAGACAGCAAAGAGCAATCACCATGCCTTGGAGAGGAGAAGTGAACTCTCTACAGGACACCGTTAAGAGTTAGAAGTTAAGAAGGACTTAATTATACATCCAGAGACACCGCGAGGAGGTCGGCCCGGGGGATAAGGGTAGGGAGCGAGCTCTCCATCTCCAGCAAGGAGGTCAACCATACAATGGCGTGGCATTTCGTGAGTATTGTTTCCCCATGGCCTGTGTATCCCTCTTATGTGAGAATGCACTCAGCACTCAGCTGAGTTATTCTTGGCACTAGGCTGCCACTTCCTTGGGACATTTTCCACCAGTACAATGAAGTGAGGCCCTTTCTTGGGGGTCTGTCAAAGGACCTGAGAGACATGGACTCTGGCAAAATCCAGAAATGCCCAGGATGCAATTCTCTCTGTATCTTTTGATCTTTTACATTTTTTTCTACTTAATCAGCATGCACATTTTAATTCTGGAAGAAAAAAATGCAGAGCTTGCTCTTTAATCATCATCTTGTCACAATTTCCTCATAGCAGATTCCATTACATACTGGCTAATAAACCATGGTGTTAACACAATTTTCCTAGGGGTGTTTTGACAGTTCCAAATGAGGAATTCCATGCTCGAGGCCCTGAGTTCGATCCTTGGTACTAGGAGCTTGAACCTCAAGCACGTCAGACTCCTCCAGCTAGGCAGAGTGTCACAGGAGCAGTCTCCAAACTTCAGCACCGCTGGAGATTCCCTATAAAAATAAAAAAATATATATTTGTCCTCCATGTTGAAAACAAATAAAATCCATACACATACAAAACATATTTAGCCAGGTTTATTATTGCATTTTTATTATGAAATCATTGCATTTTATTCTGAAATTCCTGTCTATGATCTCTCTTTATATGGTGAAACCCAATGTTAAATTATATAAGTGCAGTTACCTGTCATTGCTTATCACATTGAATGCTTTCTGGAGGGGAAAATCTTGCTTTGTTTTGCTTTCCTACAATATAGTAAGGGAAAGTTGCTCTTTGAAGTGACATCATTACCACAAAGAGAATTCAGTTCTTTACCAATGAATTGGAACCATGAAGAACCCAATAACTTGCTCCTGAAGCCATTAAAACAAAGGAAGACTGGTAGGGAGCAAGTTGAGAGGGATAAGAAGGAAAGAAAGAAAGAAAAGGGAATAGGGGAGGTGGAAGAAGCGAAGAATTGGTTTTTCTAGAAAGGGATAAGAAATATGAATGGATGAGAACATCATTTTTTTAGGAAAAATGAATAAACAAAGGTGGGTACTGTCTGGATGGGATGGCATCTATATGCCAAATGCCTGGGCTGTAGATGATGCATTTGTACAGTGTGACACAGAGTAACTCTGAGCCAGCACTCTCTCTGGACCTAGGTAAAGGGAGTGTTATTATAGCAACTCCATCCTAGGTACAGGGATGTTGCCATAGTGACTGGGAGCACCTCTCTCCTAGGTACAGGGGGTGCTGCTATAGCAACTGCCTCCTAGGTACAGGGACGTTACCATAGTGATGGGGAGCATCTCCCTTCTAGGTACAAGGAGTGCTGCTATAGCAACTGGGAGCATTCCATCTGCAAGGAAATGAATCCAAGAGGCATCTTCTTTTTCAAGAACTGCAGGCAGGTATTTAAGTAACATATATATGCATTATATATATGTATGTACATATGGATGCATATATATGAATGAATTGTATTCCTATGGACACCGTTAAATTAAAATTAAATTATGTCCCGGGCTGGAGCGATAGCACAGCGGGTAGGGCGTCTGCCTTGCACGCAGCCAACATGGCCGACCCGAGTTCGATTCCTCCGCCCCTCTCGGAGAGCCCGGCAAGCTACGGAGAGTATTCGATATGCCAGACACAGTAACAACAAAGTCTCCAATGGAGACGTTACTGGGCCCGCTCGAGCAAATCGATGTATATATAGACACACATATATATCCACTTAAAATTTGAATTACATAATTACCTAGTCTGCAAGAGCATACAAATAATGTTAGGTGAATTCCTACATTTTTGCTAAAGTTTGACCAGCACACTCATTTAAAAGTCACATCTATTTTGATGAGCCTGTCTCTCTTAATGAATAACAACTTTAAATAACCACAATCTTCACCAGATTCCAAGATTTGAGGATGTTTGGAAAAACTTCAATATAGCACGTGAGCATTGGGTGATGGTGAGCACATGTCTCTTAAGAAGGAGAGATGAGATCCACTGGGGTGTAGAGCAGCATCTAGTGACATTTGTAAGGTGAATCAAGCTGCTGAAAATTCTATAAATATGATAAGGGTGGCTTATCTTGCACGTGGCTGATCTGGATTTGATCTCCAGTACCACATATGGTCCTCAGAACCCAGCCAGTAGTGATCCTTGAGGCCAGAGCCAGGAGTAAGTCTTGAGCACTGCTGGAAGTGACTCACAAACAAACACACAGACAAAAAGTATGGATTATTCTCTAGACCTTGGAGTAAAGCTTAAGACTTGAAGTATGTCCTTCACTCTTGAGATAACTTGTAGACTGTGCTGGCCTGACATAAAACATTGCAATCAAAATTAAAAGCAGAAACCACCTTGCTCTTTTATCCCAGGGCACAAAGGTGCAGTACAAAGAAGACTCTTAAACTGCCTGAGATCACATGTTTTATGCAAGAAATCTCTAAAGTCTTTCTGATATCACTTGTGACATCTTTGAACAATTGCATTG